TGCAAGGCACTACAATTGGGTGAAGTGTGTGGGGCTGTGTTTCTCTAAGTGTAGTCCAGGGATGGTCTGTACCAGAATCAGCTGGGATGCTGGTTGAAAACAGAGATCTCTAAGCAAAATCCCAGATCCACAGCTCAAGTCAGATTTCTTGATAACAAACCATGGAATAAAACTTGCTTCAGTTTAGGAGGAGAGGGAATTGTGAAATGATATTAGGCAGCCCTCAGAAACCCTGGGTGGCCACAGAAGTAGTTTCAGAGGTTGAACAGCCAAAACAAGGCCTAGACCACTCTCCTAAGAATCTCCTGCCGCCGCTTGGCAGAGATCGCAGCTCCTACCAGCAGCAGTGCTCAGGTCTGGAGACCAGAGGTGCCACTCCTAAAGCCTGAAGCTTCTGCTACCACTTCTATGGAAAGATAGTTTTGCAGAGCGCCCATCACCTCACATTGTTTACTTCTACTTCAGAGTCTCCTGCAGTGTATGTGGTCATGGGACTGCTCCTGTCCGCTGCACAGGTTGGGAGAGTGGGTTCTAGCTTCCTCCTCTGGGAGGCAGGACTCAATGGTGGGCAGTTTAAACAGCTGAAATGTGTTCAGATAAAGCTGGGTGGCCACAAATCTGACCTGTGGGCTTCTACTGACTCAGGAGCGTTGAGAATGGGGCCAGTAACCTTCATTCTAAACTGGCATGCCTGGTGATTCTCAGCCACACCACCAAAATTAGCGAACTGCTTTATTAGGAGACTGGATAGACAGGAAAATGGGGATATAGCAGAGAGAACTTTAAGCCAGAGCTTACAGGCTTTCAGCTCTGACACTGCCCATCAGTTCTAAGTGGCATCGATGCTCTCAGCTTGTGCATACAGAGCTGGGTGCACAGGATGATGTACAGGGTGGGGCCAGCACCTGTCAGTGAATGTGGCTGGATATTGAAGGTGGTATGGCTAAGAGTCATGAACTTAAAGGGAGGTAAATTTATGAAAGAAGGAAGTAAGTGACTTTTTGTAAGGTGTAGGTTTGAGTTTGCAGAATACTTTCCTTTATGTCTGGCTTCAAGATTATAGACATAGGAAAGTGAGACTTAGCATAATTTGAAAGGAAGAACACACTGGTTCACTTAAGATCAGCAGTGGGGGATGGTATTCTAGAAAAAACATTGAGATAGAGTATATGGAAATTTCTTGGCAATTGAATGGTTTCAGAAAACACATTTGAAAAGGCAGGAGGAGTATATGATATACCATATTTTCTTCACAAGATGCATCTTTGGCTTTTGGGGCACAAGAAAGAGGCAGTACATTAAATGCACACATCAGAGTAGGTCTGTCCCTGTTTCAGAATGCTAAACCATGAATGAAAGTGTCTCAGAGTTGAGAAGGTATAGTTGTAGTGGTTGTGGATTCTGACTTTAAAGGAGGTTGTCAGTTTATGAAGTCAGGGACTAGAAAGACAATTTGGAAGCATCTGACGGAGGTATGAGGCCTTTAGGGGTGGACCAAAGGTTTATTGGGTGGATTACAAGGCAAAACTGGGACAGAAAGCAAAGACTACTAAATAGAGGTTACAGTTAGTCATTCAGAGTATACAGCAAGAGAGAACAGTAAGCAGGAGGAAAACAGGTGTTAAAAACTGTATTGTGGCCAAGATTATCAGTCAAGAACTTGTGCTGTACAGGAGGCTGTTATTTTAGGTCATCAACCCATGAGACTCCTTTTGCACAAATGTCTTAAAGGCTTTTTAGCACCTGGTGGAGCCAAGGAGTAGAAATGCAGGTAGGAAGGAGCAGAGAGAGAAGTGAGACAGACAGGACTGGACATGGCCAGCTTTGCCACTCCCATTCATTCATTCATTCATTCATTCATCCATTCATTCATTCATTCTCCAGCTGTTGTGCTTGTCACTGGGGCTGTGTGACTTAAAACTGCTCTATTTATGTTTAGAATACTCAGATTTGGTTACTTCAAGAATGGTTAAGTAGGAAATCATTTGTATGAGCAGAGGTTATAAAATTTCATAAGTAGAGAAGCCTGAGTAAAGCATTGGAAATGGGCAGTTTGGCTCCCATTTGGCTCCAAAGGGGGAAGTAGGGGGCTAGGGGCAAGATGATTGGTGTAACTGGTCAGTCTCAGAGCTGAACTTAGACGGCAGCCCAGAGGGAGGGGGAGAGAAGGGTGACATCTTATCATAAAAATTGTTTTACAACTTTGGAGAGGAATTCACCCAAAGGGATATTTCTAGAGGAAATTCAGGTTTTTTCTGACACTGTTTCAGATCTTTGGACTGTGTACATTTGAAACCCTGAGGATGAACCCAAGTTTCCAGAATTAGGCTTTAGATACCTTCGTTTTCCCATTTTACCTGCTAGTTAACTGACAGCCCTCCTTTCTTTGGGCTCCCAGTTCTCTTGCTCTTTCCTTTCTATCTCTAGTACCACCTTCCAAATAGTGAGAATTTGATAAATTATATTGTTTACATTTATGTGCTGATAGATTACCCTCCTGGGTATGGATTTCAGCCAGTATATTTATTTTTGACCTTTTAATCTCTAATTGCAGAAAGAGTACACATGTTCTCACTGGAAAGCCTCAGATTTAGCACAGGTGGAGTGAAGGCTGGGAGTTGTCTGTGGAGCTCTGGATCCTTGCACTTCAGTTGCCCTTGACATCTTAGCAGGTTGCAGTAAAGGGGTTGGCCTGGCTGATTGCTCACTTCTTACAATAAAGAAGGCTGTATCCTCTCCTGGCTTTAAACACTGGAACGCTTTCTGGGGTGAAATCTAAAGGGGAAGCCCCACATGTAAAGGGGATACAGGGAGGTACCCCAAGCCCTCACTCTCCTGACCACAGGCTCATCTTGAGAGATTCTACTGGGGCCAGTTTGGAAACCATGTCATCTGCTCAGTGCCTCTTCCTGGCCACATTCTATAATATGCTCTTTCCCTCCCCTTCCTGTGAACAGAATCTTCACCTTAAGACAATACCACCCCCCACCCCCCAATTAGTGTTTATTCTTTCTTTTCTCTTTCTTTCTGATTGTTCCCAGTGCGGTCAGTGCCTGTCCTGAAGACCCATTCCCCCCACCTAGGAAAAAAAACAGTGACGTTGCTATTACCTCTGGCATGACAACCTCATGCCACTGGGTCATCTTGGGCCTTCAGCCAGCAAATTACTAGGATTGCAGAGCAAAGAACAATAAGCACATAGGAAAGCTGCTAAGGGACTCTGAGGAATGTGGGTGGGGGGACAGTCAGGAATAAGTGGTGGACACAGGAGGCCTTGTTCATTGAGGAGAAACATATAAGGCCGGCCTCTTCATTTGCCAGCACATGTGTGTTCAAGATGAAAATTCAACTGCAAATGATACTGGAGAAACTCCTAACAGTAATGATGATTACAGCTGTTGAAGCAATAAAGTTGGATAAAGGGGGAGAAAAAATGGTTTAACAGTGCGTAAAGAATACCAACTTCAGTTACTTATATGAACTGCTTATTATTTAGCCTAATTGCTGTCATTTTAGCAATCACACATACCATTAAATGCATCAGACTTATTTGTGTGAATTTCACTTGATTGCAGTGCTAGGCTTTGTTTTGTCAGCTGAGTCATGATAGTCTGTACTTACGGTGACTGATCACTCTTACATTTGACCCACTGTTTTTCTGCAAGTTCATAGGTAAATCTGATCTTTCGAAGATTAGCCCCTAAGATTTGCATATCTTGTTACACTAAAGGGCCAGTATTTTGTTATAAAAGACCGCAGACATTGTAAGCAGAACGGGCAGATAGAAGATTGCCAATTTTTGCCTAGCTTATTCTGTGAAACAGGTATTTGCATTTTAAAACACTTCTTTTTAGCATGCCTCGGTGCTTCCTGGAACCTACTGATGAAGGGATGGGAAGAGAGGCAGCTGTGGCAGCCTTACAGAATCTAGAATAGCAGAAGTGAGGAAAGGGGCTCCCTCGAGAGGAACTGAATGTTTTATATTGTGAAATCATGGCCACTGAGGCTCAGCAGACTTGAAATGGGAAACTTCAACATCTGTTGGTTTCTGTTTTATGAGATGAGAAGGCTAGAAAGCACTTAGTTCTGTTAGTTCTTTATTTTGTTTTTAATTAAGTGAATGGAAATGATTTTCTATCCAAGATCCATTCCTATTTCAATGGTATACATTAGAAAACCTATTAGTAAAAATACCTTCCGCAATGTCATATGCTTACTTGTTAATTTGGAGAGTGAGTGCCTAGTAAACCAGGAATATCTTAGAAGTCCATGGTTTTTTTTCAGTTTTGCATATCAAGGGGGTAAGTGGTAGTGCTCAAAATAAATTTGTAGGATTGTGTTTGCAGATTTCTTTCTCTTCAATGTCAGTAAACTGGATGCAGCTAACAGTAGCTGACATTTATTGTGTGTATACTTTGGTGCTGACATTGTACTTGATCTTTCACACACACTATGTCACCTAATGGATACGACCGCTTTGGCAGGCAGGCATTGTTACCATCGCCTTTTACTGATGGGGAAACTGCAGCACAGAGAAGTTAAGTAATTTCTCCAATTGACAGAAGGTGGGATTCAGCTCCAGGTCAATCTAACTGCTTAATTAACTCTTTTGTACTGTGCTCTCCTGTCCCCTTTGTTGATTATGTTTAAAAATAGTTTTAAAATACTTGAATAGCTGTTAAATCGCAGTGATGTGCTGAGTTGTAATGACATGCAAACATTTCCCAAAGAATATTAAAATATTCATTACTCAAAACTAAAAAGTTTAAGCAATTTAATTTTTTTTGGTTGATTTACTAAAGGTAATAATAGATAAATATAATTTATCATCCAAACTAAAATTGAAAGGGGTTGACATTATCAGTTAGGTGGTGATAGCAGGAACAAACAATACTGTTCTAGCAACTAAGTTATGCCAAGTAACCCTACTGATTGTTAACTTGTCTTCATCTTTGAGGCAAAAAATATTAAAACTGTTCTTCATGTTTTTGAACTTCTAGGGGGATTTCTCAATGTCAATGTAAGTGAAGTCAGTTTTGATGAAATTCATCAACTCTTCTCCAAGGATTTAGATATTGAGCCAGGAGGACACTGGAGACCCAAAGACTGTAAACCCAGATGGAAGGTGACGTAAATTTTCTCATGAGTAATATGACATTACCGTGCATTTGAGGAAAAGTGTGCTTGGTTCAGAATATATTGTGAAATACCTTTACGTCATGATAAATTTAAAACATCAACATTTTTATATTTAATGTATGGGTATTCACAGTTCAAATGTGATTTAATAGTGTTACTTATGAAGACTGTAACTGTACCTGTGCATATACAAAATATATGCTCATGACTTATTACCAGCCTTAGAGATCCTGGTAACAGATTTTTTTTCAGTTCTGTTCTGTTTGGAAGAGAGGCTATGATTTCTCTGCCTCTTGCAACTGTCCCTAATGATTACTGACCTGCAGGCATAGCCCCACCAAGTCCTGGAACTGGTGAGAGCTCATGGGGAGGGTATTAATATCATATCCTGATTTCCAGTTGGGTGCCTCAGTGGGATTTTCAAGCTCTTTTCCTCAGAGCCCCAGAATTCTAAAGAGGCCACTCAGGTCACTGAGACAAAACGGAGAACTTTGGGCTCTTCACCTCTGTTTCAGAAGGCAGAGCACAAACTTTTTATCTTTTTGTTATGTCAGAATTCTACTTAATATTTTATTTGAAAAACTATAAGGGAGAGGACCTACCTCTGCTGCTTAAAAATAAGTGAAAACCATGGTTTAGACTTGACTTGCTCTTAGTACTGTGAAATTGGTTAAGTGCATATTCATGTGATTTTTTTATGGTTGAGTAAGAAGTAGTATTGACGTAATTCAAGTGAAAACTACATATGGTTAAATAAAATGTTATGTCCTAAAGGATTGTGATGTAACCTTAATCTGGGAATGGTTTTTAATTTCTCTTTTAAACTCTTAGTATTCTGCTGAAATATTTGTGGGGTGTTTTTGGTACAAAAAAAATTACTGCTGGGAAGGAGAATTCTATGCTGTTAAGCTTATGATAAAAGTTCTCTTCTTGGCCTTGAGCTCTTTGTGTTTGGCGATGTGTATTATTTACATCTGCACTCCTAACAGAGCATGTCGTCATATACAGGGGTGGGCAAAGTAGGTTTATAGTTTTAAGTACACAAAACAGAGTTTATGCTTGTATTATTATTAACTAATTATTGTGTTATTTATTTGTATTACAACTGTAAACCTACTTTTGCCCACCCTGTATAAGTTAAGCACTAAACTCAGTTTTGTTGAATTGAGTTTATGGGACAAATAAATGCCTTAAGTTGTAAAGATGCTCAAATGAGTTTTAGTACAAATTTTGGTGAAACATTCTGTTTTACAATTGTCTTACGCTATTTTCCAGATCAGATTCGGTTAATAAATGAGCCTTTTCATATTTCATGATTGATTTTCCTCACATTTGTATGTATAATGTGGCCCAATTTATAAAAATTCCACTTTCTAAAAATGTCCTGGGCAAATAAATGATTTTTCTTATTTGGGCGATGAGTATGTATGTTGGATGCTAATAGAAGGAAAGCATATTTAGTCACAAAGGCCGTGGGTTAGCATGGAAGTTGGTCCTCAGACATATACTCATGTAGGGTGCTGGGCACCTCTCAGGTGTGCACTGTGTGGCATCATAATAGAGTAATTTGGGATTAGAAAAATTAAGTATTCTTGTCCTTTCTCCAGTGCTCTATATCAGACATTGCATTTTGAATTTTATGTTTTGTTTTCTTCTCACTTTCCAGCAGACAGGTACATCACACAGTTCCTACTTAGAGATTTAAGTAGACTATCAACTCCACATGGATCAGTGGACAACACACTGAAAGTGGAGTTCCTAGGAGGAAGCAAATTGAGGGATTTAAACATTAGCTTATTTTATTTAGGAACTATATGGTAATGCTTCTTTTATTTCAGTTTTGCACAGGTTCTACTGAGAATACAGTCTCTGGTTGTGAGCTATTCAGCTAGAGGTATGAGAGGAAATTCGGAAATCATTCAGGGATGACCTGTCCTTGCCATATTTAATTAATTAAATACCTCCCCCTCCTCCCTTCCTGTTTACATTCTAATAGTGTCCCATTCTAATCTCGCAACAGAATTGAGGCGGAGGGGGAGAAGAAATAACAAGATTTATGTTAAACATCTGCTACCAACTTGACTTGAATATTCTAGGTTCTTTTAAAGAAATTTTAAAAAATCAATTAATTAGTGGCTAGTTAATTGGAATTGAGATCTTTTGAAACTAGTGATTTCATCAGAACCTAGGTATATCTGAAACTGCAGGTTTGAGTGGAAGATTCAGTATAGGTTGGATTCTTATTTCTAAAGGAAATAAAAGATGGAAATGTATACCTGTGACATTGCCTTTCCCAGGGTTCAGGTTGAGGCCTGAACAAATGGTCTAAAACCTAAAGGCTTAAAGACCCAGGCAGCTACTTGATGCTGTTATCTACTCAGAGGCCTGACGTTCCATTTCCAGTCCAAGGTTCCTCAAAGATAGGTATTAGCCACCTGTCTCAGAATCACTTGCGGTGTTTGGTAAAAATGAAGACTGTGGAACTCAGTCCTCAGACATTCTGACTCTCTTGGTGGGGAGGAAGGCAAGTCTGAAGCCATGTCATTTAGGGACACCGTAGTTGGTGGTGTGCTCGAAGTTTAAAAGTGGGACAGAAATGAGGGGAGCATTTATGTAGGAAACATTTTCCTTGATAACCTGTTCCTGGCCCGTACAGGAGAAAATAAGCAGGCAAGAAAAACAGACACATAAACTCAGTAAGCTTAGTGGTTTTGATTAAAGTGGGAGCTGACTGAATGGGATAATTATGCTTGAACAAGAGGAGATGTGGAGAGAGTCATGAAGATGAAGTGTTGTTTTGCAGAAGATAATGACCAGATGTTCTTTATTGCCACTGGAGATGCATCAGCAGGAGAGTGGCTCAAACAGCAAATTAGGGCACATAGGAGAAAGAATGTCCTGAAACAAAGGCTGTTAAACCTTGAGATAAATGATCACAGAACACTGAGATCTTTTTCTAGGCAATAAATTGTGAACTACTGAGAATGAAATTTCGCAGCCACTAGAAGGGACATGTCGAGTGAAAATTTAAGATACCGTTTAGCTTTATTTTAATAAAAACTTTGCTTTAGGCATACTGTTCAGAATTTTTGATAACTGTCTCTTTAAGATGTGGACATTCATTTGCTATTAAAACAACAGTTTTGCTTATTTGAATTTGCCAAGATGCCGGTAATTTTTTTCTTATGACATTCTCAGTTTCTTTATAAGATTAAAACAAAAATGACTCTTGATATTTTAAACACTTCATTGAAGAAATTACTGTGTTAAGAGCTATGACTTTGCCTTTGTTTATTCTTGTATGTTTAACTTATCACTCAGCCTAATTGTATTTAAATAATACAGATTTTTTAAAATACAGACTCTGGAGCTATTTAGTAATAGCCTCTTCTCTTAAATCTGTAATTCGCCTTAACTGTTTTTATAGCCCATTTACATTATGTCTGAGGCAGCCAACTTGTGGCAAGTTCATAACTGAGAAGGGGAAGCTCAGCCTTTATTTCAGTAGAAATTATCACACCGATACAGTTCCAGTAAGGTCAGTGGTAGGGGTCTGTACTCACCATCTAATTCCTTTCTCTCTTTTAACTTTTCATAGCAGTTTCCTATTTTAAGAGTGAGCCCAGGGGTCTCTGAACTGCTTTGGGAATTGTATTTTTTGGGAGTTCCTTGCATATGCTAATAATTGATTCTGAAGCCCATCAGCAAGTTCCCAGTCTGTAGGGAGTGCCCAGCACCAGCAGTAGCCCGCTTGTGGGAGGGATGAAGGGGCTTGGATGGGGGTTGCTCTGGCAGCTTTGTGGCCTCAGATTCATAAGCCAAGAAGTACCTTAGAGGCAAACCAAAAGGGAATGGCATCCAAAGTGGTACTGGCAGGGGTCGCAGAACCTCTTCAGTTCCTACCAGTTATCAAATTTAAACAAAGTAAACTTGAAAATATCAGCCTCATAACAGCCATTTTTCTGCTCTCCCATTAGCATTAAGGGAAAATTAGTGGTGGTTTCTAGTTTAGATATCGTTAATTTTACTAAATCATCTGTTGTTTACTCTAAATAAAACTATAATGAGAATTTAAAAATTTCTCTCATTTGTGATCGTGGTAATATAAAAGACACAGATAAATGTTACTAAGTTTTATTGGCTATATCTATTGCCATGTCTTGATTTTACAAGTAGGATTAGATCCTAAACCTGTCATTCCCAATTATTTACATTTATTCATTCATTAGTAAAATTTATTTGGTAGATGTGAAATTTTAATAAATCCCAGATTTAATGTTGTTAAATTAATTTTTTTAATAGCCAATTTAGATTGTTTAAAAATCCAGAATGTAGAGCGACACAAAAATTTTAATTAGATATATTTTGACTGTTATACTCTTTGAAAAGCTAATGATTTTGGAATTTATAATATGTAGAAAACTTATTTTAATTTCAGTTTTTTATTAGAAAATTTACAATTATACTAAAGCCAGCTTAGCTCAGAAATTACTAAGAAAGCCCGGCCAGGCATGGCTCAGTGATTGAGCATCGACCTAGGATCTAGGCTATCGGGGTTCAATTCTCGGTCAGGGCACATGCCCGGGGTGTCGGCTTGATCAATGACTCTCTCGTAGTTGATGTTTCTATCTCTCTCTCTCCGTCTCCTTCCCTCTCTCTGAAATCAATAAAGATATATTTAAAAAAAAAAATGCTAAGAAAGGAATGTTTAGAAAACATTTAGCTATTTCAAGGGAAAACTGAATTATAGGGTGACTTGGCTTGTATGACAAAGTTTAGATCCAGAAAATACAGGATTTGAGTTAGTGATGATTGATAATTATTCATTTATTCTCATGTCATATTAATATATTTTATGTAAATTATGTTTTCTAGTCTTGATTTTGAGAGTTCCAATCAATGTTTTTTTTCTATTAGACAAAAGAATGATCTATTGAAAAACCAATCTAATTTCCATATATGTTTTTCTTTTTTGCGGGGATTACTTATGAACAAATTTCTTTGACTTATCAAAGACAGATTTCTCTGTTTTCTGTGCTGCTTACATGATCTTTTCTGTTAATTCAACATTTTTTAACATAATTTTATTGTCAACTTTAACCTGAATATTATCTTACTACTGAAATAAACATAAAATGTAGCAAAATTTAATTGTGCATTTTGATTAAATGAAAAATATTATATTAATATCATTATAAAACTTCATGTATATTCCAGGACACATCTGTTATAGTTCTTAAAAATATCCCTATGCCAGATAAGTCATGTGTAGGATAATAGATACTTAAGTGGTATCTCTTTTACAGTCAGTTTAAACACCATGAAGTTATTATTTATGTTCTGCTTTAAAACCTTGAAGTTATTCTTGACACATCCCTCTCCCTCACTCCTCATCTCATCCACAAACAAATCCTGTCTATTTACCTCTTAAATGTTTCAAAACCACATGTGCCTATCTCCTTCAGCCTCACCTCAGTTCAAGCTGTCATCACCTCTTGTCTCAACTATTGCATTAATTTCCAAATCATCTCCCTGAGTTCATTTTTGGTTTCCTCAATCAACTCTCCATAGTAGTCTCTCTGTGGCATCACCAAATCTGATTTTATCATTTTTTTTTCAATCTTTCCACGACTTCTCATGGTGCTCGTAGGGTAAAGACCGTAATCCCTAGAACAGCCCTGGGAGCCCGTTTATACCTCCTCAGGTTCACAAGACCGTAAGTGGCACAAAGGCAAGGGCCCTGTGGTTTGCTCACTGTTAGATCTCAGTGAGAAAATGCGTAAGGGTATGACTTTAAAACCATCATAAATTTTTAAGGATTAGTCTTCAGCTGTACCTCTTGGGCTTGTTGCTGTGTTATTTACATATGTGACTGTTTTCCTTTAAAGGTGGCGGTTCTCATCCCTTTCCGTAATCGCCATGAGCATCTGCCAATTTTTTTCTTGCATCTGATTCCAATGCTCCAGAAACAGCGGCTGGAATTTGCCTTTTATGTCATTGAACAGGTGAGAATATTTTTCAAAATGGTTACCAAGTCTCCTGGAACATAATGAACATTAAGATACGGTTTGATTCAAAATATTTAGCTTCTGGTTAATTAGGTAACTCAAATCCTTGGCTTTATATTTGGATAAAATTGAATTTTGAATTGAGCTGTTAGTGGTATATATCTCATTTTGGTAATTCCTTTATCAGTTGATGTGCTCCTATCATTTTTAATCATCTTATCTCTTACCTATTAAAGGAAAAATTTTTTCTTTATTCTTTGTATTATTATCAGCTAATTTTTCTCTCTAAATATTTTTTCTTGTTTCAGCTTTCCATATATACAATTTCTTTCAGTCTTATTTGAGCTTTTTAGAGATATTTTCCATACTTCTATTTTTCCCCACATCTGTCATTACCTAGTTTTACACTTGAAATGTTGAAATGTTATCTTTGATTTCTTTCTTGGTCTTTCCCCCACCCCAGCTCCCAAACATTAGGGTAATTGCTGAATTTTATCACAACTTCTACATAGCATTTCTAAAACTGCATTTTGTTTGTGTTTCAAATATACATAATTTGGATACTTCTGGTTTTGACATTAATGAACTCATTTTATCCTGATCTTTCCTTTTTTTTTTTTTTACTCACACTAAACTTGACTAAAAATGTATTTCCTTATATGTCAGTAGACAGAAAGTGACCTATTTTATGTTATTAGATGCTGGTTTTTTTGGAGGTAGAAAGTATTTAAATTTTATTCCTAAGATTATAACATTTAGTGTATTCTGCAAGCTCCTGTGTGGTTTATTGTAGGAAATTCTTTACTTCTCTTTTTTAATTTCTTACTCTTAGCTTCTTGTCTCTATTTATTCTGCTGGAAATACTTGGTTTCTAATACAAGTTATGCTTTTCTGTAACCCTTTAAGGTTTGTTCCCCGTGCATCTGATGATCATATAGTACACAGTGCATATGTTCTTTTTTTACATAACAACCTATACTTTAAAAATTGACTTTTTAAAACCTGATAACAAATAAAAAATTTAGCTACTTTCATAATAGCCATAGTTGTGAATGTCTAGGTCAGTTTTCCCAATTGCTGGTTTTCTTTTTTAAAACTTCAGTCTCCATAATGTGTTAGGAGATGAGCTATCTGCCTCGGTGTTTTTAAAAGCTTATTCTCCTGAAAGTCCAGCATCGTTGAATTATTTTGTGCGTGCCACAAAGAAATCTTTGCAAAGCAACTGAGATCCATGTTTTATAAACCTTTTCAGTCAGAATCTCAGCTTCGATCGATACTAATTCAGGCCAGTGTACTTGACAGTGTGTAGTTTTGAGCAGTAACAGCTTTACCACATATGAAATAGAAGAGTAATTTTTCTGCTGGACTGATGCCCATAAGTGCTAAGCAATTGAAAAGCAGCTCAGAACTCCTAGTTAAATATGGAAGATTGTACACACATTCACCTCCTCTCTTTTCTAAACTCCTAAAATGAGAATGAAAGAAAGTACTTTTTAAAAAGTTATTAAACTACAAAGACAGAGAGATGGAAGTAGCTGGGAGACTTCAACACATTTCTGGAAGTCAGAATGTAGATGGACCACTGGCAACTCCCTTAGCAGAGCAGAGGCTGTTCAAACCCATGTGCTCAGTGAGGGTGATTGTGACAAGAATTGAATCAATTTCCCGGACAAACCCCTATTCGTGTAGACACTTGAAAGGTGTCATAGGAGATGGACCGAGCCCTGCCCTAAAGTAAGGGGATTACTTGAAAGTTTGATTACAAAACAATCAAATCCCCAGTTCCACATTCTCACCCAAGGACATGTTTTTATTGATTTTTAGAGAGGGAGGAAGGTAGAGAGAGAGAAATACTGATGTGAGAGATACTGGCCATCAGCAGCAGCTTTTTGGCACAGGGGCTGAGACAATACCAGGGTCCCTGGGGGCGGGGATGAGGTGCACCAGCACAGAGCCGTAGCTGCGGTCACCTTGCAAGGGACGGTGTGGGGCTTGCTGATCTTGCTCCCCCAGGAGCCTCGCCGCACAGGGACAATAAAAGCTTGGCCAGGATGATGGCCCCATGGACAGCAGTGGCAAATGCCTCGAACTGGATTCTCTAGCCAGCACGTGTCCGTTTTTGAACCAGCCTAATCTTCAAAGCCTCTTCCTTGAGGGATGCCCCCAGGAAAGGGTCAGTGATCTCAGATTCCTTGAGGGCAGGGAGAAGAGGCAGATCTCCAGGGACTTGATGTTCATGCCCTTGCCCAGGTGGCCCAACTTGGTGGTGAAGATCCCCTCCTTGTCCTCGGCCTCGCCTCTGAGAGCTCCTCAGCCTTAGCCCCGATGGGGACAGCAGCTGCGATCTTGGCCGGGTGCGGCTGCCGATCCTCCACAGAAGCCGCTCCGCCTCCCGTTCCAGGCCCCCGGGGCCTCCTCGGGGCCCTCTGGCAGCATCTGCGTCATCCTCTGTTTGGTGTTTCCTCGGAGAAGAGGCAATAAAAACCATTTTTAAAACCTTAAAGGAAAGCCGTTCAAGCTGATGTTGATGCACCAGTAATCTTATTATAATTTAACTTCCTTTCTCTTTTATTCTGCCCATTTCATCACTGAAGAAAGAAGCTGTAAAAAGTAAAGCGGTTTTTATTACCTTAAGTTGGTGCAGGACCCAGGATTAAAAATGAACCACTTTTCCCTCTTGCTGCGGCAGTCCAGTGCTAACCGCACAGTGTGTCTCCTTCACTTCTGTCATAATCCGTTTTTGTTTTATATTTTGGAAATTATTTTGAGAAATATTGATAAGGCCTAGGTAATTGCTGTTTAATTTTGATTAGATACAGAATGAAACTTTTTATTATCAATGCACCTTAATATAATTTCCTTTATAAAATAGGTAAGTGGTCATAATATAGGAAATTGGGTTTCTGTGTAATAAGTTTCCATTTTTTGTTTCATAAATACTCTTGGTATTTGTTTTAAGCAAGAATAAAGAAAATAGGAACTGTTTATTGCCCAGGCATTTTTATGTATTTTCCCTAGTAATAAAGGAAAATGGTTATAATGAAGGAAGTTGGGTTTTGTGTAATAAGTTCCAATTGTTTTCATCTCTAAAACTGTCTTTGTCTTTATTATAAGCTTCAGTAATCAGAGTTAGCCCTCCCTGGCCTTATTATATAAGGTTTACCAGTTGCTTCTCTTAATCTCAATAGCATATGGAAAGCTTCACTAAAAAATGCAACCTATGTAATTTTTAATGGTTTTATTTTTTTCCTGGCCATAAATAATCTGTATCTTGATGTATTTGAAGTAAAACAGAAACATGAAGGCTGTCATTATATAAATGTGATGATCAACCAGTGGACTAGATAATAACATTGTTTTCTTGTAATTTACCGAAACATAAAATAATGCACGTAGATTTAAATGGTGTATTTGAAAATCCTGAAGTATGTTTATTATCTATTTGATTCAGACTTATTTATTATTTGACACCATGATTCAACAAGTTAGGAAACTTTAGAAAAAAATCAGATGACAAAGCCTGAGTGGCATTTCTATTTTTCCCCCTGTGAAGACCGGCACACAGCCATTTAACCGTGCCATGCTTTTCAACGTGGGCTTCAAAGAGGCCATGAAAGACAGTGTGTGGGACTGCGTGATCTTCCATGATGTGGACCACCTACCTGAAAATGACCGAAACTATTACGGATGTGGAGAAATGCCACGTCATTTTGCAGCAAAGCTGGATAAATACATGTATATGTAAGTAATGTGCAACCTTCCTGATATTTTATAATACACTTGCAAAATCGTATCATCGAAATGGTATCATCATTACATGTCTGCATCTGAGAGTGTTCAAAGCCTGAAGAGTATGTTTAATTCCAAGCCATCCTCATAGGGAGCCAGGGGTAGAATCGCTTGACATTCTTCATTCAGAGGTTTGTGTGGAGTGGTCAGAAAGCCTGGTTTTCACAGTCAAGCAAATGTGAATTTAACTTCTGGTTTTCACACTTAACAGTTATAGGAGTTGATCAGTTGCTTGTACTGGGAACGTTGGTTTCCTCGTTCATTGGGCTGCGGTGTGATCACACGTGCTGAGCCTGCCCGAGTAGTAACAGCACCTGATGTCTCCCTTCTGCTTCTTTCTCTGCAGTGTATCTTCTTCCTGTGCAGGGAAGCTTCTTTCTCTGCAGTGTATCTTCTTCCTGCTAAGCTATGGATTCTTGACATGCTTATCATAATAAGAGACATTTTTTCATTCTTTGGAGATACCTTGAAATGTCAACAGTAATTGGAGCTGTGGCAGTAACTTATTTTTTTAAATTACAGTTTACATTCAATATTATTTTGTATTAGTTTCAGGTGTACAGCATAGTGGTTAGACAGTCATATACTTCACTAAGTACTCCCCCTCATATTTCCAGTACCCACCTGGTACCATACATAGTTATTACAATATTATTGGCTATATTTCCTATGCTATACTTTGCATCCCATGACTATTTTGTAACTGCCAATTTGTATTTCTTAATTTCTTCAACTTTTTCACCTAGTCCCACAACCCTTCTCCTCTGGCAACCATCGTCTTTTCTCTGTATCTATGAGTCTGTTTTGTTTGTTTGTTTATATTGTTCTTTAGATTCCACATATAAGTGAAATCATATGGTATTCGTCTTTCTTTGATTGACTTATTTCACTTAGTGCAATACCCTCTAAGTCCATCCATGCTGTTGCAAATGGTAAGATTTTGTTCTTTTTATGGCTGAGGAATATTCCGTTGTATATATATACCACAGCTTTTTTATTCACTTGTCTATTGACGAGCACTTGGGTTGACTCCATATCTTGGCTGTTGTAAATAATGCTGCAGTGAACATAGGGACGCATATATTCTTTTAAATTAGTGTTTTGGATTTCTTCAGAGATATACCCAGAAGTGGAATCACTGGGTCAAAAGGCAGTTCCATTTTTAATTTTTTGAGAAACCTTCATACTGTTTTCAGTAGTGGCTGCACCAATTTGCATTCCCACCAACAGTGCAGGACGGTTTCCTTTTCCCCACATCCTCGCCAACACTTGTTTGTTGGTTTATTGATGGCAGCCATTCAGACAGGTGTGAGGTGATACCTCATTGTGGTTTTAATTTCCATCTCTCTGATGATTAGTGACATTGAGCATCATTTCATATGTCTATTGGACATCTGTATGCCTTCTTTGGAGAAGTGCCTATTCAAGTCCATTGCCCATTTTTTAATTGGATTGTTTGTTTTTTGGGTGTTGAGTTATATGAATTCTTTATAAATGTTGGATATTAGCCCCTTATCAGATGTATCATTTGGCAAATACGTTCTCCCATTCAGTGGGATGCTGTGACAGTAACTTAAATTGATATTAAAGCCTGCCCGTCTAATGGAAGTGGAGAGGAGGGAAAACAGCCTAGAGCAGGGGAGATGATTCCTATATGACAGTTTTACCTGCTGCCTGACCTACAGAGTAGAGAGAGGCAATGACACAACAGGTGAATCAGCACTAAAACAGAAAAAGAATGCCTTTTCTTGTTGTGCTGGTTGTTGTCATCATTAGAAACCTTTCCCTTAATACTACAGTACCTGAACTCCAAGTCTGGTGTTACCTTGGGAAGGTCATTCAGGTTCAGGATCTGTTTCTCAGCTCTTCTGGAACAATTTTGGTCAGCCGCTAGAGTCAAATTAGATTCAGTGTAATTGATTTTCTCTTAAAAATATCAGAAAGGTCATATAAACTAAGAATTCTAAATTATCTTTTTTTACCGGAAAATATTAATTTCTAATGAATTAAATATTTGTATCTACCAAGACTAATCCTAGGGTTAGTAGGGTATTTTGGAAGTTTGACTAGAAATGAGAATGCTAACTTAGAGAGGTGGTAGCAGGTCGAGGAATGGCTGGGTAGTGCAGACTTCAGCCCTGGACGAAGTCTGATGAAGCACCGTCACCTGGGACACTGTGGTTGTCCTTGGGGTACACATGTCACTGTCTTGGGGTGCCTTTGACCCAGGGTTGATCCCAGATTGCTTTCTCCTGCAACCCTAGAGTTCCATGCAGGAGCTGCCTGTTCCATCTTCCCAGCTGGCAAATAGCACTTTTCCACTCAGGGAATGAGGCAAGAGTTTCTTCAATAAAAAAAATGAAATCTGCTTCCTTTCTCTGAGGCAACGGTGCTATAGTCCTGGCCAAATTTCCTTCAGCTTGATTTTCAGATGCTGTGCATGGTGGGTTTTTTTTGCTGGCCTGCCCCAGTGGCCTTTTAGGGGCTCTAGCACACTACTCCCCAGTAACACATTTGGAGCCGCAAGAATTATTCAAGTCTGCAAGTCTAGGGGTGCTACCTCAATATCAGAAATCCAGCCTATATCTAAATGAATAGATTAGTTTGACAAATTCCTTAGATTATGAGTTAGGGAAAGGTAAGGAAAATAAAATCCAAATTTAAAAATATACTCATTTGTCAGAGAAAACAAATAATGTGCGATTTCACTTATCTGTGGAATCTTAAAAAAACCCACACACAAAAACAAATTCATAGATACAGAGAAAAGATTGGTGGTTGCTAGAGGTGGGGGCTGAGGGGTGGGTGAAATGGGTGAAGGTAGTCAAAGGTACAGGCTCCCAATTACGAGATAAGTTCTCGGTTGTAATGTACAGCGTGGTGACTATAGTTAGCAATACTCTACTGTATATTTGAAAGTTGCTAAGAGAGTAGATCCTCATCACAAGAAAACAAAGAATTTTCACAAGAAAAAGAATTTTCTAACTCTATAAGGTGATGCTAACTAGACTTATTTTGGCTATTATTTTGCAGTTTAACATAGATCAAATCACTATGTCGTACGTCTAAAACTAATGCGATGTTACATGTCAGTTATATCTCAATAAAAAGTCATTTCTCTAAGTATTAGTGCATTAAAAATAAATGTATTTGTAAATATTCATGAGTATTTTGGGACTATAATCAAAAAAGATATAGGAATAGGCACCTTGTCATTTTAAAATTAAATACTAGACTTGTGTTTGCTAATACATATTTATCCTGGTCTATATAATAAATAATGGGTTTATAATTACATTCTATGAATTTAGAAAATTTTATTAGCTTAGCAACATCTAACATTTCATTGACAGCTATTGATGGATTTAATTAAGTTTACTTTGCCATAAAAATAAATAATTTTTGAACACTGGGTTTTGAATATTATAAAGTAAACAATACTAAATATTAAATTTCAGTTACCACAAGTGTTTTATATAACACATTTAGATGTACTTGTTTCATTAGAATATAAAAATGTTTCTTGGGGTACTTTGCATTTCCCAGAATATGTTTTAATCAACATAATTATTTATTTGGAAAACTGGTATATTTGGCAAGGCACATAAAAGACTGAAAACTTGATTTCATGTGGCAAACTGTTCTGATTTTATTTTTAGGATGCTCTGTTCTGCTTTTTTTTAGTCTTCCATATAAGGAGTTTTTTGGTGGTGTAAGTGGACTAACAGTGGAGCAATTTAGAAAGATCAATGGTTTTCCTAATGCCTTCTGGGGATGGGGAGGAGAAGATGATGACCTTTGGAATAGGTATGTTGAGGTACAAATTGCTTAATAACAGAATTTCTATAAATTTTCTTTCTATTAAGTAACTTATACTTTGCTATCCCAAGGAAAGATTCTTTCAGATGGAAAATTTTGAGATTCCTATATCCTACTTTGTGTTTCTCTTTTTTTTCACTGGAGGACCTTCTGAAATTATTGATAACACATACATTAGAGCATTTTAAATTGAACTCACATCATCAATGTTTATGTCAGATTTTACTTCTTTATATTTTCATTTCCATGTATTGTATTGTAGAGTTCACTATGCTGGATATAATGTGACAAGACCAGAGGGAGACTTGGGGAAATACAAATCTATTCCTCATCATCATCGAGGTGAAGTCCAGTTTTTAGGACGGTAAGTTTAATATCATCTTCAGAGACCATGTTTCCAAAATTATATAATGTATGAAGGATTTAAAATACACATTGCAACCAAAAAAAATATTCTGAAGGGAATTTTCTGTCGATACCATTTTTTATAGAAGTGAAGCATTTTTGTGCTTGTTTTGAAGAGATCCACATATATCTGCACACACGTGTATATTTATCTTATATTAAAAAGCCCAGTTAACTATTTATATAAAAAGTGTTTTCTTAGCAAAAAACATAATACATTTTATTTCTTAAGGATGTCTAAGTCATAAGGGTGCAGAATAATTTTTTCAGGTGGCATTTTAAGATCCATAGAAATGCTAATTTAGAACAATGGTTTAGAGAGGTTTTTTTAATTATGTTTGAGAACCAAAAATCATAAAGAGCAGTAGGTGCTTTAATTTATAAGAATGACCTTGAGCATATTCCCCATCAATTTTTGTTTTTGAACATGTTTCTGTTACTTTTCGTTTATTTCTCCAACGCTATAGGTATAAATTGCTAAGGTATTCAAAAGAGCGCCAGTACATCGATGGGCTGAACAATTTAATATATATGCCCAAAATACTGGTTGATAGGTTGTATACAAATATATCTGTAAACCTCATGCCAGAGTTAGCTCCAATCAAAGACTATTAAAGAAGTTGCTGTCGTGGCGAGAGAGACCACAGTGCTGATCGTAAACTTAGAGCGCGCTCTTAAGGGAGGCCGGTGAATGCAGGCGTCAGAGTGCGGCGCGTGGAAGAGCCGGCGGCCTCGGCGATGGCAGCGCGGGGTTGTCTGCAGCCAGCCTCTCCCTCCGCCCTCCCCTCCGACGCCCCCGTAGCGAGCACTGCGGAGACCAGATGCCCTTGCTTCAGACTGGAGTTAAGAGTGCCCTGCAAAGAAAAAATTTTTATACGGAAATCTATAATTTAATTCAAGAGAATGCTTTATTTCCATTGAAACATATTTTGTACATATGTGATGTAAATCAATGTGTTTAAATTGTTGAAAAATAAGATGTGTTACAGTTTTGCATGTAATTGCTTATGCCTTTATTGGGCTTTTATAGACATTTTTTATTTGCATGGAAAAAACAATGTAAATTTATGAAACTAAACAAAGGTTAACCCTTGTGTGAAATGAAGGAACTGTCAATAATTGACAGCCAACTAATACAGTAAACTGTTATACTAGTTTTGAGCTTTAGACCTTCAGCCTTCTGTGTGGAAGTCACAGCTTTCTTAGGGTCCTAAAGGGTAAGAAGAAATGGCTTAAACAGCTTTTCTTCCTACCAGGATTACCTATATTTTTCCTTGCTTGTAATCTCATCAGATTTTGCTAAATCACAACCATAATGTTTATGCATATTGCATGAGTATTACCAAGAAAATCTTAAAAGTTGTGATGTGACATGATATCAAGGACCTCCTTATGTTAAATGTCTTTCATGTACCTCTGGTGTGTCAGGGATTTTGTGCCTCAAAAAATGTTCCCAGTGTTGTGTGTGTTTGTACACTGGTTTTTGTTTGTTTGTTTTGGTTATAGTGAAACACACTTTTATTATTTCCAGTTCAGAAGAGCCAAAAATTTTTTTTATTTAAAAACAATCAAAACAATTTTTTAAAAGAATGAGTTATATGGAAAACCCAATAGTACTTATAATATACAAATGAATTATACTATTAGATAAGAAATTAAATGTTCTATTTTTATGAAGATAAATGCTTAGTAGATAAAAAGAAATTTTAAGTTCAATTCTCAGACTCATAGAATTCAGTTTTGGAAGGGATTCTTTTTAATGTTGCCCAATTTCATTCAAACTATTTTTTTTTCACTTTTAAGGAATCACGTCTCTGGTGTTAATTATTAAAATTTCCTCACTAAAAGCATAACTTAATAGAATTATATTATAATACATAATCAGTTGTTTAAATGCATTGATATTATAAGGCACTTCTTAGTAAACAGGTCTTACTACCTGACATCAAGTTTATTGCTTTATCTTGAATTTGGATGAAGTTTTTATGGCAAAACCAAACAATATTTTTGCTTTGAAAGTTATCATTTTCAACCAAAGATTCTTTAGAACATCTTAAAGTATTTTCACAAATTTAGAACAAAAAAATGTCTCTCTCTATAGTGAATCTTTAACAGTGAAGATCAATAAAAATCTGTGTTTGAGAGATGTTTGGATAACATTTGCCTCATAGACTGTTCACCTAAAATAGAAATATGGTTATATATCTCAGGTTACCACCTAAGTTTAACTTTTGAAGTTGGCATTTTCTGTGGCAATATTGGTAGCACAAATGACCAGTAACCAAATCACAAAATAATTGAAATCTTAGTACTTTGAGAAAACTGATAGCTCCCTGTTATGATACCAAACAGAATTGTTCCACATTTTTTTCTTAGAAATATTTCCAAAATATTTGTCTCTAATTTTTTTTGCTTGTACTGAAAATAATGAAAAATCAAACCTTCTGAAAAGTAAAGTTGTCTTTAATTTGTCTATCTGTTGATTTTCTGTCTCTCATAGTCAATGTAGTTTTTAATTCACTGAAATGAAAGAAAGTAATTTGGGAAAGTTACCATTCGTTGAGCACTGACAAGATAGTTGGGGCATAGGAGCATAATTAATACATAAAATAATTAAATTATAAAATATTTTAGTTGTGGGGAAAATTAGGGCTGTTCCTGGATCTTATTAGGAAAACATCTTTTCCACATTTTGGAATCTTTTCATTTTGATATACATTTTACAATTTCAAGAGAACTCAGTTCAACTGCCTTATTTTGGGGGATTAAGTCTAATAATGATTTTTGTTTTAGGAGTGGGCCATGAATATTTTGTGTGTTTTTTTTCAGTTTTGAATATGGTGTATCATTGTGTGAAAATCTTATTAGTTTGCTTTTTGTCTTTTGTTTTTGTTTTGCTTTTTAACTGCAGACTTAAAATTGATTTTTGCCTATAGTGACTTATAGGTTTCAGTAAAAGTGACAGTTTTGCCCAATTATCTTTATTGTGTGAAAATAAATCTGTTCCACAAAACTAAAAAATATATTGTAAATGCAAAGTATCTTTTTATAGGTTTGTTTGGTGGATGTATTAGTGAACATGTATTCTTAACTCCTCCGTCAGGTGCAATGCTAAAAAAGATAGTCATTTAAATCTTTGCCAAAAGCTAGGGTTTAATAAATATTTTTTCATCTAAATTTAAATTTCTGTTTATATTTTGTGAAAAAGTGTTCAGTAAGAAAACCTTGCTTACAATATTATATAAGTACAAAATTACATATTAAAAACTTGCTTATACTCCTTTCCCAGGTAAGAGATTGATATCCATTTTAAAACAAAATGTAAAAATATGCGATACAATAGTCTCCCTCTTTTGGAGGCTCCCTATGAGTGGAAGCAGATTTGTGTCATTTTATTTGGCGTTTGCTTGTCTTTGTTCTATTTCTTTATGTATTTTTTTTTCCAGACAAATATTAGCACTCTAGGTTTATTGCTTTGTATTTGTAAGTATGCCAATTGAGAGAACTAAGATGGCCATAGCGGTGTTTATCAGGAAGAGAAAGTGTACTTAAGATAAAATTAGTTTATTTATTAAGATCTGAAAGGCTTTTACATAAATGCACTGAAATAAAGGCTAGTAATTTCTTGTATTCTCATTTTTTTTTTTTTGCTTCTCATGGAAATGTTTGTACTTTTTTATCATTGTCTTTTATGAAATATAATGTTCTAAAGACTTTGTGTGATGGTGTAATTATTTTCTGTAGGGGACATTTTTGGGGTTATCTGGGTTTTTCATTGTTGTTGTGCTTATGTAGTCCACATAAAAATGTCACGCCAAAAGACAGGCGAGGAACTGTGCTGTGTGTGGCCTCTCGATGTTCATGCTGTGGCTGTGACATGCACTGTAACTCTGCAGGATGTTACCATGGGGGGAGGACTGGGGAAATGGTACAGGGAACTTGTATTATTTCTTGCAACAGCACAGGAGTCTACAGTACTTCAAACTGAAACATTTAATTTAAAAAGAGGCCAAGAGTCCCGTAGGAAAGAAGATCAACTCTACTTACAATAAAAGACATAGAGATTAAAATTCCATAGAAGTACCAATTCTGACTTATCAGATTAGCAAAAACCCTGAAATGTTCCCGCCGCTCCTGGTGAGGCTGTGCAGCCCCACGTGCTCTCATACGCACGATGCAAAGCCACAGCCTCTGCGGAGGGGAATTGGTTGAGCAACAGCCAACAAAATTGCTAGAGCATTTGTGCTTTGTCCCAGAAATCATAGGCTTCTGCCCTAAAGACACATCTCTACAGATCTGAAACAACATATGCACATGTTTATTCATGGAGGCATTATTTAGAGTAGCAAAAAAAAAAGGAAGCACCCGAGTATCTATCTGGGGGAGCTGGTTGAACAGGCTCTGGTCACCCCCACTCTGGAGCCCTCTGCAGCCAAATAGAGGCATGAGTCCCATGCTCTGATTTGTATTGGTTTCCAGGCTAATGGTGTCCTGTGGGAAAAATAGGGTTCACACACTGTATAAAGTGCTGCTTTTTGTGAATGAAAAAAGGGGAAGTAAAAAATGTGTGTCTTTGTTTCTTTTTTACGAAAGAGAGACTAGCGGGACAAACCAGAAACGAATGCAGATAGGGAATCTGTGGTGGGGAGGTGGCAGTCGTTAGGAACTGGAACCACGTCAATGTTTTTATATAACCAAAAAATTAAAATTAAAAAATGAACCCTAGTATTGATTTTAAACAGAACAAATCTTTAAGTTATTTGGACAAAAAAGAACCAATACTTAGTGAGTTCTTCATCAACTAATGATTAACTTTAGCAAGTAGAAAGAAAACTATTTGGTCACTATTCTTGATGAATTATATAAATGTCACTAAATTTGTGTTTGCATGTTTTTACTGTGCTTTTTTTTTTTTTTTTACACAGTATTGCTAATGTGGGGAAGGTAATAACCACCCTTTCATGGCAGCCCTGCCCATGGTCCCTTCCCAGAGAACCTGCCTTACCCACGCCTCGGAGGAGTCCCCCACACCCTAGCTTTCTTGGCCACAGCTCGCTGGACAAGGGGTTGACCAGAGAGCACAACAATGGGCAAACAAAGCCAACCAGGTTCTCAGCAATTTGAAGGGACCCAGGGGCTGAGGGAGTTAATTTTGGGGGGAGAGCCAAACCCAAATTTCCTTCCTTATGGCTAAGTGAGCAGAGAAGCTGGTCTGCAAAGAGAATGAGAGGACTCACGTTGGGATTCAAGCAGCCCAGAGACAGAAAAATGTTATTCAGTTCCTGATGGCTTTCCAGACCCAGTCCCTGGTGAGGCCCTGCTGTGTCCCTGACATTTGTGTTCTGTGAGATGTAGGAATCCTTAAATGAATCCCTTGTCATTCAAGTGAGCTGGACTGGGTATGTAATCTTAGGTCAAATGACCCCTAGTTGAGACACTCCGTTTCTCTTTTAGAAAGGTTTTTGACCTCATTAAAATCAATTTTGATTATGTCAATCAAAGTTACAATCTATTTATAATCAAGCATGTTGAAGCATACATAAAAGTAGCCCGACTGGGGTGAGATGTCCTTGAGGACAGAACCATTTCTTTTTCATCTTTAGCTGGAACTTTTTTTTTAGTTTTTAAAAATTTCTGGTGCATGTTCTGTTTTTTAGGGTTTTTTTTCTTAATTTTATTTTTGTTTAAAATATTACAGATGTCCCTTTTTCTCCCCAATGACCCGTTCCACCCCGTCCCATCCCCCTCCCCAGTCCCTCTTCCCACCATTGTCCGTGTCCTTGGGTTGTGCATATTTGCATATAAATTCTTTGGTTACTCTCTCCCCCTCCACCCACCCGCCCTCCTCCATCCCTCTAACATTCGTCAGTCTGATCTATGCTTAGCTGGCCACTCTTAATGGGAGTTCAAGTATTTGTTAAGTGAAGCTTTTTCCAGTTTTAACTCTTAGAGTGTGGGTTCTGTTTTTTAAAAATTGCTTTTCTCTTGAGACAATAGAATGTAGAATCTCAGGGGATACAGTTTCAGTTTGAGTTGGATTTGAGGATCTAAGGGTACTCTGGAACAATTTCCCAGAGGTCTGGCCCTTTTCATTCCCTGTCTAGGAAGTCCTGAGAAGCTGATTCAGGGGCTGTTCAGGGTTCAGGAACTGTTAAAAATGCACAGTACTCTCAGCTAGTGGGTCTCGGTGCCAACTGACGTTAGAATCCCACTTGGACCACACCTCCAGACAACTGATTTCATTGGTCTGGGTTGGGGCCCAGGTATAGTAGTCTTCAAAATGTTTCCAGCCGACTTTAAAATGAAGCTAAGACGAAAAGCCATGGCAGGAGATATTCCCTGCACACTCACGTGGCCCTGCAGCTGATGCAGACTGAGGGGACTTTTCAAACAGATGGAGATCTTGGTCCAGGCCTGATGATTTGAGATCATGGTTCTCAAAGCATGTTGGGCCAGTAGGAGCAGTATCTCCAGGGCACTGGTTAGAAATGTCAATTCTCAGCCCTGGCCAGTCTGACCATATCAGAAACCCTAGGTGCGGCCCGTGATCTCTTTCCACAAGCCTTCCGGGTGACTGCTTGTACTAAAGTTTGGAAACCACTGCTTGAGGCCAAAACAGGCTCAGACGGAACCTGCAGAGTTTGCCTTGGTGCATGCCTCTCGCCCTCCCCTTGTTGGCTCATTAATTGTTGCTTCAGAGGAAAAGGTGAACACTAATACCAGACCACTTAATCAATTATCCTGACAAGATTTAAAAAAAAAAAAAAAAATTCCTTATTACATGAACCAAGCACTTTCTAAGCTCTTTCCATGTAATACCTTATTATTGGTCCTCACAACTATCGGAAGGAGTGAAAGTAAGGATCCATTGAGAAGCTACAGGAGCCCAGCCAGGCATGGCTCAGCGGCTGAGCATCCACCTAGGATCCAGGAGATTGGGGTTCGATTCCGGGTCGGGGCACATGCCTGGGGTGTGGGCTCGATCCCCAGTAGGGGGCCTGCAGGAGGCAGCTGATCAATGACTCTCATCATTGATGTTTCTATCTCTCTCTCTCTCCCTTCCTCTCTCTGAAATCAATAAAGATATAGTTTAAAAAAACCAAAAAAGCCACAGGAAAGAAGTTCAATGGGAAAAGAGGAAAAGCCAAATGCTATAGCGCTGCCCACTCAAGATAAACCAGGAAACGAGTGATTACGGAAAAAGGACCAGAGGAGACATTTTATAATCCCTAGAAATTTACAGGTCTTATAAAAACTTTTCTAGAAATGGATTCCTGACTTTAATCTCAACGAAGCTCAACAATTTATTAACGTTTAAAAAATGAACAACAAACTTTGTCTTAAAGATTGCAGTTTGAAAGGTTTTTGCTGCCTGTAGGTTGCAAAGAGCATGGTGTTGCTTTTAGACTGTGCTTTTGTAAGGAAATAAAAGCTAGCCAATGGCTTATTAGTATACATTGGAGAACATAATTGAGTACTTTTTAAATAACAGTTTTTAGTAGCTTATCTAAAAACGTCTTTTAAAAATCATTTCCTGGGCCCTGGCTGGGTAGCTCAGAGCGTTGCCCCAATACGCCAAGGTTTCGTGTTCGATCTCCATCTGGGCAGACAGGAGAATCAGCCAGTGAGTAAGTGAAACAACACTTGGGGTTTCTCTCTCTCTCCCTCTCTCTCTCAAAATCAATCAGTTTCAAAAATAATTTCCTGGATGTAAATGTTTTTACTCTAGGCCTCAAAGCTAAAGTATTGTAATTACCAAGTCCATTGGGAGAACAGATTGAATAAAAATCATGAAACCACAGGACTTTGGAATAGGAATGGAACTTTAAGATTAGCTAGTTCCTTTCCTTTCCATTTATTTTATTAGATATTAATTAAAACAAAAAAATATAAATGGAATTTTGCACCCCTCCCCTGGAAATTGTAACAGCCTTTAGGTTCCCCTTATTCAACCTACCTCAGCCACAAGGCGGCTCTGGAGAACATCGATCAGATCAGATCATTACCTTCTTTACCATCACTAGCTTCCTCATGACCCATGGATTCTTTAACTTCTTAGTATAACCCTTCAATCTTCTGTCTCTCAGTATGAAATATCCTAGTCATGAACTAAAATCGCTTTCCTTTCTCTGAATATTTAATGTTCTCTCATCTTTGTCTCCCTGTAATTCAGTCTCCTCTCCAGGAATGGCTTTTTCCTATTTATTTGCCTGGTGCCTCCTACTTAGCTCTAAGGGCAAGCTCAGTTGCCCCTCCTCTATGAGGCCTCCAGGCCCCCAGGAATCAGAGCTTTTTTTTTCAAATTATGCTACCATAGAATTTAAAATATTTTAATGGTAATCCTCCCTTCCTTCCTGTTTCTCCCTCCTTTCTCCTCCCTTCCCCTTCCCTCCTCTTTTTTCTTTCATGTCTGTCTCCAATGCTGAGAACATTTCCTTGAAAAGAGACCCCCACGTCTTAATTCATTCTTATAGCTCCAGCACCTGGTACAGAGTAGGTGCTCAACCAGTGTGTGTAGAATAAAACGAATATATGTATGCTATCGTGGAATGAATAACTCTCCCCCAAAGATGTCCATGTGATAATTCCCAGAACCTGTGCAAGGAACTTTGCAAATGTGACTAAATTAAGGATCTTGAGATGGAGAAATCCTGGGTTGAGTGACCCCATGTGATGCTTCATTCTTCAGGAGGCACCGCATTTTTATCTCACCG